TATCTAACTATCTGTTATTTTCTGTGTGTGTAGCAAGGACACTACAAACTTTCCTGCCCTATGGAATAAAGTTCCTGAGTTTTGTCTCCATGTGATGAGTCCAGGTTTTGTCAACAGCGCCAGTTCAGATCAATGTATAAATGGGGGAAGAACAGGGCTGTGTTAAATATATAATGTTGCTTCTTAAACTGCAAAGCTTGGAAATTAGAGTGTCATGGCTCAGAAGGTAAATACTTATTTTTTACAAATAGTTTTTAAAAGACTTGTTTTCAGGATGAAAAAAATGCCGGTCAGGCCTTGTGAGGTGACGTCGCTGTCGCCTGGTGTAGGAAGCTTCTATACATATTTGAAGAACACTGATTTTAACATTTTATTATCGTAAAATTGGAAGTATAATGAAATGTTATGCCTATTTCCACTTTTATTTCACTGCCTCTACAAATTAGCAAATTCTTCCAAAGACAGCAGAACAAATGACAAACTACATAATCATAACTAAAAGCCAAATTAGCCCTAATATCTTTCTAATTTCAGCAGAACCCACCACTAGAAGCAAATAAGGTATAGCCATAGACTGGGTATAGCACAACACTTGATCATAGAAACTGTGCATAGGCTGTATAATCATGTATACTAGTTAAGATAAGACTGCACTAAAGGAAATTCAGGTGCAACAGCAGCAATTATATATGGTGAAAATAAAAGACAAGCAGCTTCTCCCATCAGACTGCACCTCTTTGCTATTTAATGCATAATATAATGAGCACGGTATAAACGGTAATTATAGATCCCATAGAAACTAAAGATAAAATACAAGCTTTCAATGAAGAATAAATTATGTCTAAGTGTGAGAAAAAGTCCTGAGTGGATCCAGAGGTTACTGAATCAGCTGTAGCTGTAATTTCAATTCAATTCAATTAAATTTTATTTATATAGCGCCAAATCACAACAACAGTTATCTCACAGCGCTTTTCATAAAAGAGCAGGTCTAGACCGTACTCTGTGATGCTATTTACAGAAGCCCAACAGTTCCCACCAAGAGCAAGCACTAGGCGACAGAGGCAAGGAAAAACTTCCTTTTAAGAGGCAGAAACCTCGAGCAGAACCATGGCTCAGGGTGGGCGGCCATCTGCCTCGACCGGTTGGGTGAAGGAGAGAGAGGGAGAGAGAGCGAGAGGGAGAGAGAGCGAGAGCGAGAGAGAGCGAGAGAAAGAGAGAGAGAGAGAGAGAGAGGGCAGGAGAGGAACAGAGAGAAAAAGAGAGGGATGGAAGGAGAGAGAGGGGAGGCAGCTTACACAATATACACACACAGAGGTACAGACAGTAAAGGTGATGTTGCTATAGACTAAATGAAAAATGGTACAGATATTTATAGTAGTGTTAATGGTACTGGACTGGGACTGGACTGGGACTCTGCTGCAAATGGCTGATCCAAAGCTGTGACACCAAGTGGTCCTTCACGTCCAGGTGAAACATCTTTGTCTGCAGGGGGGGAGGACAAGTCAGCGGGGAAAAACAGTGGGGCTTGCGTTAACCTCAAACACCTGTAGTGTAGACTTTAGACCCTAATAGGCAGCTGAGCGGGAGCCATGGAGCATGGGGCAATAACAAACATAGGGACAGATGGGAACACTCGAAACACAGTGAAGTGAAATAACAAAAGGAGACACTATAGGAAAACACTGATGACAATCGCATTAATCACCATTCACTCCCTGGTCAAATGACATCGGCAGTGATGCAGGTAGTGTCCTCTGTTTCTGATTAGCAGATGTCTATCAGGCCTCAACGTTACATCCATATGTGTGTAACAGTTAGTAATAATACCATACTAGGTCTGCCGGCTGAGACTTTATAACATTAGCTGAGCTGTTATGTTTTTCAGAGCACACAAACACTGTAAACACACACCTGTCACCTGCCCAGCATGGTGCTATTACCCAGAAACACAGCTTCTACACCTTATCTTTACAGTTTATACACACAGCCCACAGCGAGGTCAATAGCCACATTTAAAACCTGCATGTACCGACAGTAACGTAACTCATGCATGTCAGCAACAGTTAGCCTAATAGCTAACTTGCTAATATTATCATATCTTACCTGCTGTACTGTCCGCTGCATTCTCGTCAGATGGATAGCATTCCTTTCACTGTTGACTTTGTGTGTGAGGCCACATGGACAGAAATGCTGTACAATTTTAGTTATGGTATTATAAATGATAGTCCTCCCTCCAGCCCTGCTCACTTCATCTGCTTGCTTTCATGGCAGTGTGCTGGCAGTCAGAGCTCCCCCTGCAGTCCATAAAGTGCCTCTGCGCCTCAGCCGTTCCAAACCCTCCATGCAGCCTTTGGGTCACGCCTCCTCATTTGCATACACGACTCAATCCTCAATCCCCAATCTCCAAATGGCTAAATGACTGAATGCCCAATCCTAAATACAAAATGACCTATCCTAAATACCAAATGCCCAATCCCAAATGGCTAAATGACTAAATGCCCAATCCTAAATACCAAATTAATTTTAGTTTTTGATTTCGACTTTTAGTTTCCGATTTCGACTTTTAGTTTTAGACTTTTAGTTTTAGTTCTGACCAAATAATCCCTCCATAGATTTTTTGGGATCCCCCTTTACTCTGCATAACACTCACTTTCCTAGGGCTATCTTTTTTTCTCCTTGTTTTTCACAACTCCTTTAAGTTATAAACTATATAAGCTATAACTCTGTGGGAGATTTGGTGGAGGAAAGGATGAGGAGCATGATGAAATCCATCCTTAGCATCCTGAGCTACCCACTGCACGACACTGTGGTTGCTCAGCAAAGCAGCCGCAGTGACCGATTCCTATGAGCTGCAGGACTGAGAGGTTCAGGAGGTCATTTGTGCCGGCTGCCATAAGACTGCATAATGGATATGTTTGAAGTGCACGATTTATGTACTATTAATGATAGGAGCTTGTAGGATTTTTTATTTATTTTTTAATGTTTTATCATGAACTGTTACCATTTGTGTTTTTATGAGTGTATTGTGGTGAGAATGCTTGTTGGTTGACAACACACATTATATGCTGATGGACATTTGAATTTCCCTGTGGGGATGAATAAAGGCATCTATCTATCTAAATCAATTTGTTTTTTTCAACAAAACTAATCCCTTTCTCATGCATTTCTCAACATATTGCCTTTTTGAGGCGAGATGAGCCACAGCCAAACTTGTATTGACAGTTTAAGAGATGATGAATCAGTGCCTGGAGAATAATGATAACAGATCAAGCTGTAGGCAGGAGTTCAACAACGCACAGCTTTGTTATGTTTTAGTGTGTGTTAGGGCAGCTTGGGCTGTGGCCCCATCTGAAACCATCTCTTTTGAAAGATAAGAGCTCTTGGCTCTAAATGGTGTAACAAGTCGAAATCGCAGTAAAAAAGTGTTTGACTACCGGCACTGTAGAAACCTGCTCTCACTCGAGCAGACACATATGAGAAAGTATTAGTGGTTATTTATGAGCCTGAGTGACTCAAAAAGCAGATGACTGTAATTTGCTGGAGGTGATTTTCTGCTGTTGAGAAAGGATTATTTATTCACAATCATAACAGCCTGAGGATGTACTGTTCACCTTGAGTTAATGTTTCATGTCATCATAAATTAAAAAACAAAAAACTAAACAGACTTTCACATCGCCACTTTTGGATTTTGATTAGATGTCTCCTAAATCCAAAAATTACAACATAATGGGTGTACTATAGTTCATGAAGGAAACCTGGAAGACTGCAGAATACTACAGCAGCATCAGATGCTATCTTAGAGTGCCAAGTTTTGAATGTATTGCACACTGAGTAAGCTGCCAGTCCAGAAGCCATTTTGAGATCCTTTTGCTTATATTTGTGCACAAATCAGGTTGAATTGAGAGGGATTAATTTTTTCACTTTTCTGCATCGACTGATACATGCTGCAGCACATTTAAAGCAGTATCAGCATTTCATAGCTGCTCAGCTCAGCTGATTTTCATTGTGTCACAATACTGGACATCCGTTATTAGAAAGGCACGATCAAGAGAAAGTTGGAACACTATTATTTAATTGATGAAAAAACAAACACTTAAAAATACAATATCTTGTAGTATTAAAGAATCCATTGTCACAGAGTTGAGTATTTAATAGCCAAGCATCCTGTATCCTTTTATGTTACTTTATTGAAGTAAAAGTAATGATCCTAAAATCTAATTTTGAGTAAAATGTCTGTACAACTTTAAAAGGCTGAAATGTCAGAACTTAAACTAGACTAAAACACACAAAATATAGAGAAAAACGAACAAATTTAAAGATATCAAAGTATAAAAGATTTTACCCCTTTGTCTCCATTTTTGGGAATGAAACCAAATAAATCAAATAATTGAGCTCAGTGAAACTTTCCAGACAATTTTACAATCTTTGCCATTTTTACCAGCTTTTCTCTGTGGGATTACTTATGAAGGAGGAGGGACTGGGGTCAGGGTTTTGATCATCAGAGGACAAGACCGAACAAGGGAAGTTCATAAGGTATAAAGATCTGGAGTTACATTTCCATGGTTAACTTAAAATATTTATAGATTAATCTGTAGTCTTTGAGTGCTCTAGAGTATGTTGCTCTCATTTGTCACCTAGCACTTGCACAAGTAAGTTATGACAAAGAACTAATACTCAGTAGATGTGGAAACCTATTACCAAATACAAATTAAATTCAGTATTAACATGTTATTTATGCATGTCCTCTGATGCCCATTGTTTGCCCATATGACTGATCCAAATAAGTTCATCAGTGGCAATTGATGTCTTGCAAAAGCAAGAAAACAACCGACACTCAGGCAAGTCCTTGATGTCTACATTTTCTGACCTGTATCTTTCTGAAATTACTGAACATCATTTGCAAAGAGCATTATACTCAAAAATGTGTTGATAGTTTGACTATTGCTAGACAATCATCACCACTACCACAGCTGGAGGCACACATAGAAATAACATACACATCACATTTCACAGAGGTTTATTTTTACAATGATTATGTAAAGCATTGGAAGAAGAAGTATTCATACAATTTACTTAAGTAAAAGTAGCTATAACACAATGTCAAAATATAAGTATTAGCAACAAAATATACTTGTATTAAAAGTAAAAATACTCTTGGTGCAGAATTGCCCCTGTGAGTACTATCTTATCTTATTATTGGATCATTATTATCGATGCATTAACATGTAAGCCGTACTTTAATGTTGGAGACAGTCAAGGTGGAGCTAATTTTAACTGCTTCATGTGCTGTTGGGAGCTTCATCCATAACAATGCATCAGCTTTTATAATTGATATGTTTTGTATGTACAATCTCAATCTGAAAGGTAGCTGTTACATAAATGTGGTGGAGTAAAAAGCACAATGTTGAGGGGGGTGGGGTTTAGTCGTATAAAATGAAAATACTCTGCACTTCCAAATTATATAGTACAGCAACTGAGTCAATATGCTTAGTTGCTTTCCACCTGTGTATAAGTGTAGTAGCGAGTAACTGCTTTTCACAAGTTAATCTGGATATTTTGCATAATCAATAAAAAAAGAAACAACCATGAGGGCTTATGTATGACACTAGCTCTTGAAACACCAACTGGAGAAAACTCGATGCAGACACGTTTCATGTAACGTTTCATTCCACAGCTCAGTAAGATATTCTGTGCTTTCTGTGGCACATCATCTGACTCCTAATTTTAATCAGCTTGTCCTTCAGCTTGGGATCAGCACATACGGGTTTTAGCATCTTCTTCATATACAGCCTGTGGATCCACAAGGAAAGGAAATTATGTTTCAGTTTTAGATAAAAGCAAACATGTAACTTATATGCTTTAGATGTTACCATATGTTACAGTGAAAATAATTAAATCTAATGTGTAGACTGTGCCTGCATGTGCTGCACTCATCCCTTTGGTTCATTGCGAGTTTAGACAGTATACAGAAGATAAATGAAGCATCTGATAACTCATTATCATTTGGCCCATTGTTGACCTTCCCAACTTACACCAGTGCGTCGATGTCACAGGCACCAGTGCCGTTCTGCACTTTCCATTTATAAACCTTCATCAGCATATTTGTAGAGATATCCCGGTTTGTTGTCACGCAGCATTTTGGGATGCCAGCTGTGTGATTAAGATCCATTATAAAATGTTAGAAAGAAAAAACATGGAATAACAGAATATGGTAATTGACAAAGAAATTGTATTCTTAAATTCCATACAGTATGATGAATTAAGTCTGTGGGCACTCAGTGCCATCCAGTCAACTTAAATCTCCAAAAAGCTTTTGGAGATTGGAAAATGTTCCTCTTATTACCAATTAGGTTGCACAAAACTAACTGGGGCTTACTTTTGTCTCAGGAGAATATACTATTTGGTCTAGAAATGGCTTCAAAGATAATTAACAGATAAAATGAAAAAATACAACAACAAACATTAATGCTGAATCCCATAACACTGAACAAGACTAAAGCTTTTTTGTTACAGAAGGGTGACTGCAGGATGACAGCATACTGCCAGTTAAATTGATTGTACCAGTTAAAAGTTCACATGATGGAACAGGTTTAATTTTATCCCTCTTATTTTAAGTTGTAATATTAAAAAGCAGCGGGATGAAGTCAATTAACAGCTGTATAACTGCAACATTACGCTCTGCTTTTCCTACAGCACATGCTCTTTTTAAGTTAGTAATTTAATATGAAAACAAAATATGCAACTTTACAATTATTTATGTTTGCACCATACAGAGAAAATGAACTCTGAGCTCTTATTTAAGAGCATGTGTGCAACTCATCCTGAGATAAAAACTGATTCAATAGGCGTTTTCTTGGTTTTAACACAAGGAATTTGGAATGGTAGTGGGGTACTTACCTTCAGTAGAGGTGATGCACAAAGCACACAGACAGACAATCACAGATGCAACTTTCAGATCCATGATGGCAGAGCAAATGAGGGGATAAAAAATCTGTCCTTGCTGTATAAATACTGGCACTGAGCACACACCAGTGAACCCACCCATTCACAAACAGTCAAGTGTGTGGACATGTGCTTGAACCGTCCATGACAAAGTTATTAACCCATGATTAGTGAAAAGTGTTTATGAAAACAAAATGTTACTTTCACTTTTACCAGACTCTTTGTTCAAACTTGCTACTGCTACTGGATGAGTGTGTGGTACAGGTATGCTCCACTCAGACAGGTGCTGACAGGTTTAATAATCACTCTTTTGACGGGATCTTGTTGATTGATGGATACTGAATGAAAGCTTGGAAAATTCCCCACCCAGAGTCACAAAAGACAGTATTGAGTAGATCACATTTAAACAACTAAGATTAATTTAGAAACTTTGTTAAGGTCAAATGTCAGCTTAAGTAAAGCAACTTTTATCCTTAATGTCTTGAGACAAGTTGGTATTAGCGCAAGGCTCTGTAATAATGTTTTGATGTTAAAAATAATAAATTAATGACAATAATTGGGTAATGATCAAGCAAGGACCTGAGTTTGAGGACCTGAATCGGTGGAAGGAAGACCTCCAAAAATAATTAACCAATAAGGGCAAATAAAATTTGAGATTTGGCAACATATTCTTCAAGTTCTTGCAGGTGTTGATAAAGGCTTAATTGACATAAATGAATCCATGTTGATAAAAATATGGATCTGACAACAAGACATTATGTTGATGTAACGCTGCAGAAGTTGCAGCTCAGTGGCACAGACATTTCACATTCATTGTGCGCTTAGTCGTGGCTTGCAAACGTCTGTCGCATGTTGTGCAACTTAACGTGCGAGCATGCAAACCATACAATATAATTATTGGGGAGAGAAATCACTGCTCCCCCAGGGGAATTTTTCTGGAAGCACACATAAAAGATCAACGTCATGAACATTTATTTGAAACTGGAAAAGTTGGAGTTGTCGTGACAGTTAAAACCAACAAATGAAAACAGTCTTTATGTTTGCTTTGCTCTTTATTTTTGACAATGCAACACTAAATACCTGATAAAACTTTTAAATCACAAAATCACAAGACTTATTTTGTTTTCCTCCTGTCTGAGGAGGTTTGAAACTCTTCGACATGTTTTTCTTTTTTGTTTGTGAATTAAATCTGGATCACATTGAAAACAAGCCAATGTGAGCTTGTTTGAATCCATTGGCTGCACTACAAAAAAATACTTGACTGCTTGCATTTGAGCAAAATTCTAAACACAAAGTTGTGGTTCCCACCATCTGAGACTGATAAAAATTTCATTAAATTGGCATGTATTTGGTCATTACCCCAAAGTAATGGACAAATTAAAATTTTGACTTGATGAGCCATATGAAAACATGTCATTCATTTACAATTTGCATCACTGATGCAACACTGGCCAGGGGCCAATTTGGGCCAGAAACAAATCAATGTACAGTGTGAAATGAAAAGATTTGGAAGTGAAAGCTAACACCAGATGCATCTGATGTACAACAAATTTCTCATAGATTACGTTGTTTTTTTTTGCCAAACAGCTACTAAATCTGCCAAAACAGGTAACTGTCAAAATCTGGGAGGTCCTACATCCTGTTCCAGCTGGAACACATTACAGAGAAACTGTCAGCATATAAAGTCCTGGCATGAGTATCAGCCTTCAGTTATCACACATAAACCTCTATGGCAATTAGAATTCCCTTCCTTTAATCTACCCAAATTGTTGACATGTTGGTACGCAACAGAGAAAGTTGTGTGCCTGAAGGAGATGAATGAAAGGTGCTGCACAGTTTTCACCTCAAAGCTGTCAATGTATGTTATTGGTGCAACAACTGATGTGTGTGCTAAATTACTCAACTACTGGTCTACCATCTTTTAATCTACATTAAAACACTGAATCTTCTTTTAAAAAGTCCAGTCACTTTTTTGTCACTTGTTGATCCTCACATTAGTCATAACATTAATTTTAATTAAAAAAAATAAATAAATAAAAATAATAATAATGTGTGCAAATATGAGATGACAGATTGATTGAACTAAAAATAATTATGGATGAATTCTTTGAACTAGTCACCTGTGTTGGGTAACAATACTCTCCTCATTCACTTGCCTTCATACACACACACACACACACATGCACACACATGTAGACAGATGTTTTATCAGTGACTAACCTGCTAAAGGTTTTTATTTTTTTGAGTCTTTGAGTCTGGGAATAACAAGAACACACAGCAGAAGGTGTTTTGGCAGTGATACATTCTGTATTGTTTTTTAAATATACAATATTTCTACTACACAAGAAGTAACTGCTCTAGCATTGTCCTTCAGCTGTTTCACATGGACATCGGTGGCAATCTCTGACTTATTTACAGTGTTTTCTGCTCTAACTCACTTGTTTGAAATAAGGCTCTGAGGTTAGATCCCCTCATAGAATAACATTTTGTTTACAGTATGTGCATTAGTATATACATTTCTAAGGCAGGCACAAACATGAAATATACTGTTTTCATACCTATTGTCTTGATTCCCATCCCCCAGGATCTGGAGAAAAATAGCCAATTACCAAAGTTAAAGATTGATCTGGGACCATAGATCGTCTTCATAGATACAGAAATATCAGAGCAGTAGGGGTTAAGAGAGAAAAATGTTTGACATGACATTTTATTGGCTGAGGGTTCAAATCTCAAGGCTTATAGTTGAACACAAATGATCTTCATTCTGCACCTCCAGGTCCTGAGAAGCAGAGAACCTCCACAGGAAACAATATCAGTACTCAGTCTGTCCTCTGGTGGCCACATGCAGCAGGCGCAGCAGCAGCTCTGCAGGCGAGCTCCTTGTAGAGCCGTCAGACGTATCTGAGGCCTCTGTCTCCGACAGGCAGTCAGAGTCTACTGCGCAGTTCTCTGAGGGGGAGGAAATGAATATAACTTTATCCAAACTGTGACCATAGATCACTTCATACCACACTAATTAATGTGTCTAAACACGACAAACATAAACAACCAAACCAGACTGCACCTGAGTTACAGCAGAGCCCTGAAGCAGCGCAGCGTCCGCCCTCAGATCCACAGGGTCTCCCTCCTGACTGGCAGGGGGTGAGCAGGTAGTTCTCCTCCACACAGTGAGCTGTTTCTGGGGAGCCCAGCAGGCAGCCGAGGCCCTCCCCGCAGCAGATACTGGGGCCGAAGCAGTGGCCCCTGTCTCCGGGGCCACAAGACATGCACTGGAAGAAAATTGGATAAATTTAAACATTAAATCATATTTAAAACATTTTTACTTATATTTTGGCATTGACCAGTGTTATACTCTTACTCAGTATGTTTTCTAATGCATATTGCAGTAAAGTTTATTCCAACAGAGCACTTTTTTAATTGTTCAGAGGATACTTTCACTCTTCCCCCTCATTTTCAAACAACACAGGCATGCAATTAGTTAAAAAGCTGATTCGTAAATTCTGGATGACAAATGGTTTCATGATTTCTGTATATTTATAATTTGTTTTTTTAACTTGCCTCTACACCAGAAATAATGAGAATAAAAAGAATATAAACCCCCTTGAAATACATCACACAGACCGTTTTCCTTTCCCTTATAAGCTACAATACACATTTTTATCATATATAGGCAACACAGTACTTTTAAAAAGTTAATATGTTCCTCTAAAAGTCGTCTATTTGCTGCTATCTTCTGGAAAAATCTTTACATACCTTATACAACTTTACATTGTTTTTCTACTCTGATGTGTTACTGCTGTCATGATTGATTTTTATTATGGTCCTTACCATGTTTTGTTCAATTTTTTAGTAAATAAAAAAATCTGTGTTGTTCCAATTTGAACCCAAACCACCAATAATACTACATTTGATCTCATAAAAATGATTGTACATTACATATGTTACACTCAAAATATCTCTAAATTTGTACATTGAAATATTAATCATTTCACTAGATAAGTACTTAGGAAATTTCCCATCCAAGACTTCCAACTGAATAAAAAACTAGAAAGTCTAAGATGATTTTCCAAAAGATGGCAGAAAGGATAATGGCCCTCACCTGTCTGATCCCAGTCTCCGGCAGGGCTCTTTTCCCTCCTCGGGGGCAGTTCTGGATGTAACAGGCGGAGGAGAGGGCGAGGAGTCCCAGGACGCACAGTGGGGACAAAGAGTGAGGCATCGCTGCTGGTGTTGGATGAGCGCCGTGTGGTTGTCTGACTGGGGTCCCGGTCGATTCCTCACTTATAAGCAGATGGACATAATCTGAGAAAGCGCTTGACACTCGTGTCTGACGTCAGTGTTGTACCGATCTGCTCCCCACATGCATGCACGCACGCGCGCCCGAAGGCCACCGGCATGCGTACGCGCGAGAGGTCGCAGCAGATATGGCTCTGCATCGGATGTGTGCCATCTAACAAATCTAAGCAAGAAAACAGCAATGACAGCTGAAGATGCCTTTTCTGTATTCAAGACTACGCCACTCTTATTTGGAATAACTTTTTTGAATAATTTCAGCTTCCGCGGTGGATGGCAAGAGGGCACACGCTAAAAATGGCATAACATGAACAATTAGATTTCTGGACAACTAATCAGATTTACTGCAATAAACGCACTGATTAAGAACATTGTATGGTGATCATGCACAATTCAGCTGTCAAACTAATCCCTGTTCATCACTGCAGGACAGACATTTTTTTTTACTTTTGTCGCATGCAGGAAACTGTGCTGGCATCATGACCACCTCGAGGTCGCACAAATTATCCTCCTGATGTGATTTAAAACTATTAATGAGCATAACAAAATTAGCATTTTAAATAAACATATGTATCTCAAGCTCATTATTCCATTCTGTGTCTTGTTGCATGCTTAGGGTTGTACATCACCCATTAGCTGTTTTGGTGCCAATTACCAAATAAACAAATGGCAAATGAACATCAGGCAGCAGGTGAAGGTGTCAAGGAGATCTATAATTAGTATCACAGCATTCAAGCTTCATCCCTCAATAAATACAAAATGTGGTCTTTTTTCATTACTGTAGCCTATCCCTAAATAATAAATAAAACTGATGTCTTGTCAAATAGAAACATCTCCTGAAATATGTGATGAAATAACAATTAAGTTTGAGGGTGGATTTACATTCCTGGCATCTACAAAGCCGAAAAATAAGCCTCCTCTTTTTACAGTGCAACCTAAAGCTGTGATGAGGGAGTGTACAAAGTCAATCCCTCCAACATTGTCTGATTTAGTATAATTTCAGAACTATATCGAACACTTATATACATAAACAGTGAAGCTGATGTCTCCATTTCACATGCAGTACAGCTGATTCCAGCCTTTGCTCTTAGGCCTACAGAGCGGATACAGGATCATGACCTTGGTTAAGCTTAATGTTGTCAGGGAAACCAACATATAAATAAAGCTGTTTGTGATTGCGAAGCCCGATAAATACTGTTTTTTCTTGACTTCAGCCTGTTTAACCCTTTTGTGCATGCAATGGCATATCCTGCTCATGGCTCAGGGTTGCTCATGGAACTCATAAAAGGTAGAAATGAATAGGTGTGCAAGGACACTGTGAAGGACTTGTAGGCTGCAGTCGCATATGTCTTTTTCTGTACACTGTTCCTTGACCTCGATGGAAAACGTCATCAGATCACATAAGGATGTGAAGGAGGACTTAGGAAAAGGCAATCGCGATGCTAAGAGAATGCGAATGCACTTCTACTACACTTTAGTGCAAAAACTTGATTTATAACACATTGGAGATAAGTACAGTGACAAACTCAGTGCTGTCCAATAAAAGTACGCTTTCCTGTCCACAGCAGAATCAAACCACCCAAGAAAGGATGTTTTCAATGTATTTATAGGTATACATTTAACCATCAATTTCTCATAGGAAGAGAAAAAAAAAATTGTTGATAAACAAACAGGGTGGAAATGTTGAAAAATATAACTGTAAAAGGATGTTTTCATGGTGGAGAAAGTAGAGAAATTAAATTATTAATTAAATAAAAATAAGAAACTGAGCAAAGGGCTGGAGTAAATTATAATCAGACATCTAGACAAGTATATAGTTTCCTGGCATGTATACATTTGACATTTGTTAAGCAGACAAAAATGTATTTCTTAGAGCATACAACATTTATGTATATAGTATTTTGTTATGATGATATTGTTAACTTTAAATTTAAAAGTGTTCCTAAAGATTCCTCCAAGCTGGATTTGAAAGGGAAGAAATCTATAGTTTATAGATTTGGAACTCAGCCAATCGTGCAAGGTTCTCCATAAATTTTGGTTCGTGGCTCATGCATAAAATGGGTGCTCTGTTCTTTCTACATCTGTGTCAGACTGCTGTGGTGAAACTACAATGGTGCTTTGCTGCCGCAAAGAATCATCTCCTTTCCTTTTGTAAACGACGGTCCTGTGTAACCTATGCTAAAGGAAATAAGACAGGAAGCACTGAAACACCTTTATTTAGCATTTAGAGAATTTGACCGGTACTTACCACGGCTGACACTTAGATACTTCTGGGTCATTTTGCTGTTAATAACCTTTTCAAGCAAAAAACAAAACAAACACAAAAACAACTATCCGAACTCAACCGTAGCCTCTGGTAGAAAAAGTATGTTTGGAAAATGTTTCTTAACACAGCACCAGGAAAACCAGTATAAGTGATACAAATCAAACTAGATACAGAATCTAGTGCGAGATAGAGGCAGACAGTGGTATAACAGAAACTTGACTGAATTATTCCAACTCAGCTTTTTAACAGTAACTGATAAACACTTACCTGTGTAGACTGAGCCTTGCTTTTTCTGTACTTAAAACAGGGAGATGCGTCTTGAGAAGATAGAATTTGTATGTGTCCATGGCTCTGTGCGATTGTTTTCTCTGAAAAACAGTGGAGCAACTCAATACTTTGCAGTCATAACAATGTACATGTGATGTTGAACTGCACTCCTTAGACCTGTTTTTATTTCATGTCTGCAGCTGTGCTTTCTAACACTCAATAATATGATTGTTTAATAAAAAACAATAACAATAAAACCTATTCAAGGGTTTAAGGAATGTAAAGTAGCGAATGAAGTGATGAAGAAAAGATAGGTATGCTGAGCATGTCTCTTTCTTCACAATGACCACACAGCCTTGGGTTGACTCAATTTCCACTTTAATTCTTCTGGCCCCTTTTCTCTCAGTACTCGTGTCCCCCAACCTTTTCTTTGTGCGTCTTCAACACATCTTCACATCCAGGGTCTGGACAAAGGCTGCAGAACCAAGGCTAAAACTTCAAGCCAAGACAGGTAGGGTGGGGTGGGGTGGGGGGTGGGGTGGGGTGGGGGGTGGGTGGAAGAGAAGAGAACTCATCTTTTATTCAATTTCTTCCCCCCTGCTATTTCACAAGATTTTTTGTTAAGGTCTTTGCTTTCAGTGACGTCCTTCCTACAGTGGTGGACATTTAGAAACAGAGGCCTCCGTGATCTGTTCTTGTAACATCTGAGATCCAAGAAAAGTCTAAGAAATATAATTCACTGCTTGACTCGAAATACTTGTAATGACTGAAATAATACAAAAATATTACAAAATACAAATAATAAGAAATGAGGCACGAATGATGCGATGAAAACAGTTATTAGGACAAATTTGGGGATTGTTTAGAAAGAATTTATCTGCTCAGCAGTTTATATAATCCAACAACCATCAGACATACATTATGACACGTTTATCAAAGAGGAGGATGGAGGTAGAGTCAAACCAATTAAACAATCTAGGATCTGTTACTTTCAGCTATAAATGTTCTTTTTTTCCCCCCACACTTTCAGTTCAACATGGCCACAACACTGAAATTCCACATCTGGTGTACAGTCCCGTCTTCACCTTCATCACCAACAGTCCTCCTCGAGTATTCACAGGCTTTGAACTCACAGGTTTGCCTTTTACAGCATTTGTCAGTGATGCACACGTATGATGTCACTGCGTGGGGTAGGGCTTTGGCAGGTGGCACACAAGATGTGATTGGATGTTGCCATAGTGACAGAGTGCAGTGGTTGCGATTCCCTCCGAAGGCAGGAATGGCAGAGCAAGTGGCCGCAGGTTAGACGGTAGATGGACGATGCAGATTTCGAGTAAGCAGAGACCGAACAGGAGCATGCAGAGCATGTCTTCTCACCTGGCAAGCAAATGTGAGGGATAATTAAACAGTCAATGGATTTATATTTATTTAACATTAAACATTTCAGAAACATTTGACACATTCTAATACTTAAATTTGCGTTTTCATTGCATTTCAGGAGTTATTTTGTTAGATGCTGTAAATTAAGTCTTTGGTTTACCTCACTTTCTCTTAACCAATGAGATGCTCTGTCTTTCTAATTTCCTGCAACCCAAAATGCCACTCTACAGTAGTCTACAGTGTTTTTTCACTCACGTTTATGAGAAAATGAAAAATCAACAATTCTGGTTCTGCTGAAGTTTGGTCTATCAAGGCTCCTGTTGTGTAAGCGTAAAAATTAACAGCGATAAGGAAAAGGGATCTTTTTGAAGCCTGACGGACCGTATACTCCATTTTGTTTTTTAAGAAGTGCAGCCTCAGGCTCGCCTCTGAGTGACAGCATGGTTCTCCTTACCAATGTTAGTGGGCCCTGGTGAGACCATGTTGCTTTAGATTACCCGTGAGGCTCGAAATACAAGAAATCCATTTTGAGCAATTGAACCATCAATTTCAAGTTGGAGTTGCCTCATTCCTATAAATGTGAGGGTGTTTTTGCAAGCAGGGTGAAGGTGGTCACACACACAAGCTCAAAAGAGTTGTGCATGTGGTCTGAAATGGAGGCAGTGTTTTTAGCCATTTTTTAGTGAACATATGAATGCCTGGAACAGCACAGAATTGAATTCAGCAGCAGAAGTCATTTAAATAAGACAGATTTTAACTTCCTTTTTGCTGGGTCACCATTTGAATCCATTGCTTTCACTGCCAAGTAACTACATTAACGACAGTTGCCACCTCTTACAAAGGAGCAAGACACAACCCTTTTAAAAAGTGACCATTCACATTTACAGAGGACAGTATCTTTTGACTTTTGGGTGAGGTATTTCTGCTGTGTCTTTCAAAGTGGACTTTTCTAAATCCTACCTGTTGGCATGCTTGGAGGGCCTGCAGTCTGACGGTGCTGCGAGGTGTTCAGTGATTCAGAGTCAGGGACAACCCATCTCTGCTGGGACAAGTTGGAGGTGAAGGAGGGTCGGCCCTGCAGGGCGGAGAAGAGGGCCTCATCCAGGCTGGCAGACAAACGCTGCTCATGAGAGCTGCAGCCGGGGACTAAAGTACGGTTAAGTAGCAAACATGGACAAGGACAAGCAGCCAAGTCAGCGGGAATATAATGGTAAATATGTTTTAGGATCTCACAGAACATATACTCACCTGGAAACGCATCATTTCTTGGTCTTTTTGTTAGAGGTAGTTGCTTCTCAGCTGTCAACTCTTGTGTTGATTCTTCGGAAATTCCACTGAGATCTCGTTTCTTTCTTCTCTCTAACTGTGATTTATTATCCTTAGTTGGAGGCTGGGAGTGAGATATGCGAGTCCCATTATCTGATGAATGTCCTAAACCAGTGTCTTCTATTTGTGTAGTCCTTTCTCTGTTTCTGTTGCCAGCCTCAGACTGAATAACAGTGTTGTTTATTGAGGTTTTACTGAGACATGCAGAGTCCTGGGACTGCCCATCTACCTTGGAGGAAATAAGTCTTGAGGCCTGTGGATTCTCACCCTCCCCTTGTCTCCCCAACATACCATCCCTCTTTATCATCCCTTTCTGCAGAAGGAAGTGGTCAATGCGGCATTTCAGTTGGGGGTTAGGAAGAGGTTGGGACTTCGAAGTAAACGGGACGCCAGTGAAGGGGTCATTAAGGGGTCGACCCCAAGTGGCTTCCCTCTTCTGGTACTCCTCCAGTGTGGTGTTGTCGACTGACACCCCACTGGGCAGCAGCATGGGAAGCATCATTACCTCCTGGGTTATCGGGTCAAGGAACTCTTCTGGGATGGAAAGATTGCTGGAGACCGACAACAAGCCAGACAATCATCAACATGTCTGTCTTTTATTATTATAAAGGTCTATTTTATCTACAACAATCAGGGTATTGAACAGATTTTTAAAGACTGCTTTATATTAACACTTACCTTGGAGATGTGGCTGCTTGCAGTGGTGGATCTGTCAGGCTTACAGAAGGGGCAAAAAATGCAGGCCGTTGCAGCCGTCTTTCACTGGCCTCATGGACTCTTTTAATCCTCTCCACTTCTTCTGCTGGGCAGCAGCGAGCAGGTTGTCCCCACACAGCCAAAGCCTTGAGCCCCAGAGCAGACGCTGCACCGCCAAATGGCAGAGTCACACGTAGTTGTGTCACAGCGCCTAACGAGAGCAGACCCCGGCTCCAGAGCTCCTCTTGCCGACAGTTCGCAGGTTGCGGAGGAAGTGGGGAGAGGAGCGGGGGCCGGGGATTAAAGTTTGAACGAGTGAAACAGACTTGGGTTTCCTCCTTCAGTTCGCAACGACCCACCAGTTTAAACTCTGGTTCAGGATTACCGGGTTCAGTGTTTGACTGACACTTGAACACACAGTCCCTTCGTGGAGGCTCATCTAGAGCCTGTTCACCCCATTGCTGGGCCTGAAGACTCCACTGGCGGCCATTACAAGATTTACTGTTACGCTCTTGTTGTTTTTCTCTGCTCTGTTCATTGTGGTCCTTTACCTGCATCTGTTCCATTTGGTGAACCCGTTTGTGGCCTAGACCACAATTCTGTGAGGGTGGCCGATCAGCGCTGGTGCTGATCTCCAGTCTCTTGCAGGCCTGTCCTCGGTCCATACCCCAGGACCACAGCTCCACATCCACCCTGCAAAGCTCCACCTGGAAGCCAAACTTCAACGTCACCTGAGAGGAATGGAGGGCATAAATGGAAATTAATTTATTAATTATAGGGACAAATATATTACTAATGTTGCCACATACATATCCACTTTCATGAGTTTGCAAATATAAAAAAATATAGTATGGGTATTATGCTTGTAACTTGAATATAATATAGAAATATATATATAAAAATATTTTCAAGACCGCAATGCCATTCATGTTTCTGACAATATGAGATAGTGAAAAGGAAGAAAAGATTTAGGAACTTTGCTTGGCATCAGTTACAAAGAGCTTTACATTTTGGTGAGAATTTGCTTTAGACACACCAGCCTCACGGTGGAAAAGATAAAGAATTATATTTATGTGACAGCTGTAGTTCTAAATAGTTAAAATCAAATCCATACTGCAAGAGAAATGTAAGCTACTCTTCCTTAATATATAATGGCTTATTTTAATCTGGGTAAATGACATGCACATTTTCCCCAAATTACTTTTTAAAAAAAAGTTAATTATTCAAAGCAACAGGAGGAGGTACTCTTTGAGATTAGACTGTCACAGGCTACTGGTAAAGCTACCTGTACAGGCGGACGTAGGAAGTACTCCAGCTTGAAGCCCCGCCTCCGGAGAGCGGGGTCAGCTGACACAAGGTTTGTGACATCATAGCCATCTGCACACAGCTGCAGTTGAAAAATAAATTAGACAGGTATTTTAAAACACAAAAAGAGAGTAGCTACAGCATTATTACTCTCAACTGCTAGTAAAAAAGTCATTACAATGGTTAACAGATTTTTCTAGTGTGATAAATCAATTTAAATTGGTTTACCACAAAGACGTTAAGTGTTCATTTTAAGGAATACTATTATTACTTCACCAATAAATATGACCTATTCTGGAAAACATTTTAGTTTCGGGTGCTTGTCTCATTGGGCTCAGAGCAGCACATTCAAGTCTGACTAGACAATATTTAGATATGCTACAGAAAACTGGATGTGGAAGGAGAGGTGACAATATAGGAGTGAAGGAGTGTAGAGAAAACCAACCCAGCCATGATTACAAAATACTTATAAAAAGTACATAACAAGGTCAGTTGTGATTCAGTCTCCCACACACGAGTCTGCTTCTTTATTTTATTTGTCCTCCACCTCCATCTTTTGTAATTTCATCTCTATGTACATTGATTCTTCCCGTTTGTCACAACCCATATTGAGCCCATTCTTTAACTTCTTAAAAAGGAAAAAATAAGGTGAATGATGCTTTCATAAGACACTACTGGAGTGTAGAAATGTTGTTGTTGTTTTATATCCTAATTATTGCTAGGTCCATTATAATTAGAACTAACAGGAAAGCATTGAACATGTTAAATAAAAAGTTACATGATATGTCCATGAAATGTGTCACACCTTGTTGCAATGAACTGTTGTACAAAAGTGTGGCAGACAGAGATTCACAACCATATTCTCCAACCTGCAAAGACACAAATTGATTTTAGAGCTATACATATTGCCTTGCATCACTTGTAGTCAGCTTACAGGTCAAGGCAAAATGAGGCCGTCAGTGAATAAAACCGCTCATCACTGACTCACACTGGCCCACCACAATGTCCCACATTATTAGAGGGTAACCACACTTTTGTTAAATTGAATTGATTCGCCTCTCAAAAAAAACAGCGAGTTCAAGGAGGGCAACTCATACAGTGTTATTGTGTTAAGCAGTATAATGATAAATAAGGAGCTAGCGGCATTCACTTATGTTTGATGTCTGGCCAGTTAGTTAATTCCACACAGAAAACACATTTTCCATGAAGCACACAGCTCGGTTCTGTGGCTGCCACTAAGGATAGTGCTTAAATTAGTCTATTAATTGCTTAATCTTTCAAGCTGTAATGTTTAACATTACTTTCAGCTTTTCAAATGTGAGGATTTGTTGCAGTCCTTTGTCATATAGCAATGAAAAGTGAAACGTTATAGGTTTTGAACTGTTGGTAAGGTCACACATAACAACAACCCGAATAATGTTACACCACCTTACTCTGAGACCTTGGATGGACATTTGTCTGTTGATGATATTATGATGATGATGATATTGATCGAGAAAATAACTGGAAGATAATGAAAATAATATTACGTTTAGTTGCAGGCCCTGTTAACGTTAATATCCAGCTACTGGAAACTACAACGTTACAATTTAGCATCAAAGAAAATGAGTGATGTGCGCATGCAAAGATATTCTAGGCCCTAATGTTGAAGGCTCTGAGCCACACACATTAAGTTGGTCACAGATAAAAACATTAAGTTACATCGGTATCATCTTCCAAAGATTATGTGTACATATCACTCCTAGCTAGCCACAGGTGATCGCGGTGAAGTTAGTTTTAAGTTGGATATTCGACTAACACTCACTAAAATCACTTGCTCTTAACCACAGAGGTTTTGCTTGGTGATCATCAATAAATCACTGTTGTAATGACAACCCTCCCCAATGTTATTTTCAATCCCTTCTTGCTGAATTGCCCCTACCACTGAAAATTATGATAAAATAATTAGAATACATTACCCTCATGTAGCACACCTATTTTGATTGCCTACGCGTGGTTATTTTATTTTACATAAATAATTGCAGTTTAAGTTTATATTAATATTTTTACGGAAAAATAGCATTTTCTTTCAATAGCTTCTATGTCATGTGACCAAGGGACTTAAAACCAATGCTGAATTGTAGTACTAAACTGGAAACATGAGGCTCACCTTTCATATTAGATTCAAGTGCTGCTTGTATTCTATATTAATATTTTATGGAAACATTTGCATTTATTTTCAATAGCTTCCATGTCATGTGACCAAGGGACTTCAAACCAATGCGGATTGTAGTACTATACTGGAGAAATGACACACACCTCTTCATATTAGATTTGAGTGCTTCTTGTGTTTTATATTACATTTTATATGGAAAAATATGCTTTTTTCCCTAGTAGCTTCCATGTCATGCGAACCAGGGACTTCAAACCAATGCCAAATTGTAGTACTACACTGGACAAATGAGACACACTTCTCCATATTAGATTTCAGTCCTTCTTATGTTAATATTTTTATTGAAGAATCTGCATTCATATAAAATACAAGAAGCACTGAAATCTAATATGGGCAAGTCAACAAGAAGGTAGCATTTTAATGTCATTACAACGCAGCAAACCCCTGTGAACGTCTAATGAATACCCAACTTAAAGCTAACTTCACCGCGGTCTACAACCGTAAACAAATACGCTAAACGGATTAGCAATGTGATGTTGGCTAACACTGCCAATGCTAAGCCCAGACTGACAATGTTAACATTAGCTTAGAACTAAACTAAAGCAGACACAGCTTACTTTACTTGGTCGTTGACAAACGTCGCTGTCTTGACGCTCCTCTGACCAACTGGTTGGCTGTGGAAGGTAGCTAATCGCTACTAGCCACAAGCTAGTTTGGCACAACTAGGGAAGCCGAGACGAGACATGCTTCACATTTTTAATTGCGAAATTCACCAGTTTCCATGGGGGCGCAACAGGTGTTGAGTACATTAAAGACTATGTTTAAATTATAGTTAGCTGCGTGTCCGCTGACATTTATGTGTTCATTACCTCAGCACAGCTTGAATGTCTATGGCAAGCCATTTTAACATTCAATAGGTTTCACTTGACCATCCTTAACTGCGTTTTAGACATAAATGCATTTTGTCTATCTTGTCCTTTTCAGAGATGTATCTCCTCCTCCACGTGAAAGTTATCAGGGTTGCTCATCCTGCAGCTTGCAACATTTCAAGGACACGTTAATAGGATGCATGCTGTTCACAGCGAAGAACACCGGTTTTCTTTGGCTTGAGGTATATTTACTCACTATTACACCTTTCCTTAATTCCTGTGTATCTTAATTCTACGGTGTCTGCCTTGAAGAACAGTACCCATTATATTACGAACAATGATTCCCAAAATCTAAAAAAAAAACAATGCAATGTCTATTTGCAACCCCTCCTCACAGGTTATATTATGTTTATGGATTTTTACACAGCCAGGTCCATGGTGAATGTACTTTAAATCAAGTAGGCCTACTGTACTTACAGTAAGTACAGTTTTGAGGTACTTATACTTCAGCACTTCGATTTTATTCTACTTTACACTTCACTACGTTTCAGAGGGAAATATTGTTGGCTAGTTTTACTCCACTATATTTATGTGACAGCTGTAGTTCTTTGTTGTGATGCAGATTAAGATTTTACATACAAAAAATTCAAGCAACCTGTAAAATAATATGCATGAGAAAATAATCCATGACGTTAATGTATCAGTACTAATAATTAAATAACAGGTGCAGAGAGAGGAGGGGTGGTATTTTATGAGGATTTGGGGAGTTGCAGAGAGATTTGTGCAGGATAAATATAAGGCAGTGTGACAACGGTGGGGTGTGCGGAAGGAATGACCAATGGGTTCGAGGTGGGATTACATCAAGGACCGGCTGTTTCTTGTTTGCAGTGGTGATGGGCAGGTTGACAGACGAGATCAGGCCGGAGTCTCCGTGGACTATGATGTTCACGGATAACATTGTGATCTGTAGTGAGCGTAGGGAGCAGGTTGAGGAAAGCCTGGAGAGGTGGAGGTGTGCACTGGAGAGAAGAGGAATGAAAGTCAGTTGGAACAAAACTGAATACATGTGCATGAATGAGAGGAAGCACAGCAGGATTGAGTTGATGCGAGAAGAAGAGGTGGCAAACGTGGATGAGTTTAAATACTTGGGGTCACCTGTTCAAAGTAATGGGGAGAGGTGAAGAAGAGACTGCAGGCAGAGTGGAGTGGGTGAAGAGTGTCAGGAGTTAAAAGGAATGTTTACAAGACGGTTTTGAGACCAGCTATTCTGTATGGTTTGAGGGTGGTGGCACTGATGAAAAGACAGGAGTTGTGCTAGAGGTGGCAGATTTGAAGATGCTGAGATTTTTGTTGGTTAGACAGTTTGAAGAAACAGGAGAAACACTGGCTATATCAGGAGAAGAATACTGAAGATGTGAAGAAAAAAAGAAACAAGTAGTAACAGAAGCCATTCTGCATAACTTACAGTAATTTTGATACTTATTTTGTAGATAATACATCTGTACTTTTACTCAAGTAAGAATTTAAATGCAGGACTTTTACTCTTCATGGATTATTTCCACAGTATGGCATTGTGAATTATATTCAAGTACAAGATCTGAATACCTCTTCCACCACTGGCCATGTCAACCAAATATTACAGTACTAGTCCTTTTTGCTTAATACTTTTTAGAGGTGTGGAGGAGCAGCAATCAACAAGACATTTTTGTTAAAAGGAGGAGAAAAGCAGTGAATGGACCAAAGTCTGAAAAAATAAACCTACTTTTTTCTAGCACAAATAACATCAGTCATCAATCATTTCATGACCCTTGTCTTTTTTTCTTAAGGGGGGGTCCTGAGCCCAAGGTTAGCAAGGTTAGCAACCACTGGGATGAAGGATACAGTGCCTTGCGAAAGTATTTGGCCCCCTTGAACTTTTCGACCTTTTGCCACATTTCAGGCTACAGACAAGAATCAACAAGTGGGACACAATTATGAAGTGGAACGAAATTTATTGGATATTTCAAACTTTTTTAACAAATAAAAAACTGAAAAATTGGGCGTGCAAAATTATTCAGCCCCTTTACTTTCAGTGCAGCAAACTCTCTCCAGAAGTTCAGTGAGGATCTCTGAATGATCCAATGTTGACCTAAATGACTAATGATGATAAATAGAATCCACCTGTGTGAAATCAAGTCTCCGTATAAATGCACCTGCTCTGTGATAGTCTCAGAGGTCTGTTTAAAGCGCAGTGAGCATCATGAAGAACAAGGAACACACCAGGCAGGTCCGAGATACTGTTGTGGAGAAGTTTAAAGCCGGATTTGGATACAAAAAGATTTCCCAAGCTTTAAACATCCCAAGGAGCACTGTGCAAGATAATATTGAAATGGAAGGAGTATCAGACCACAGCAAATCTACGAAGACCCGGCCGTCCCTCTAAACTTTCAGCTCATACAAGGAGAAGACTGATCAGAGATGCAGCCAAGAGGCCCATGATCACTCTGGATGAACTGCAGAGATCTACAGCTGAGGTGGGAGACTCTGTCCATAGGACAACAATCAGTCGTATACTGCACAAATCTGGCCTTTATGGAAGAGTGGCAAGAAGAAAGCCATTTCTTAAAGATATCCATAAAAAGTCTCGTTTAAAGTTTGCCACAAGCCACCTGGGAGACACACCAAACATGTGGAAGAAGGTGCTCTGGTCAGATGAAACCAAAATCGAACTTTTTGGCAACAATGCAAAACGTTATGTTTGGCGTAAAAGCAACACAGCTCATCACCCTGAACACACCATCCCCACTGTCAAACATGGTGGTGGCAGCATCATGGTTTGGGCCTGCTTTTCTTCAGCAGGGACAGAGAATATGGTTAAAATTGATGGGAAGATGGATGGAGCCAAATACAGGACCATTCTGGAAGAAAACCTGATGGAGTCTGCAAAAGACCTGAGACTGGGACGGAGATTTGTCTTCCAACAAGACAATGATCCAAAACATAAAGCAAAATCTACACTGGAATGGTTCACAAATAAACATATCCAGGTGTTAGTATGGCCAAGTCAAAGTCCAGACCTGAATCCAATCGAGAATCTGTGGAAAGAACTGAAAACTGCTGTTCACAAACGCTCTCCATCCAACCTCACTGAGCTCGAGCTGTTTTGCAAGGAGGAATGGGCAAAGATTTCAGTCTCTCGATGTGCAAAACTGATAGAGACGTACCCCAAGTGACTTCCAGCTGTAATCGCAGCAAAAGGTGGCGCTACAAAATATTAACTTAAGGGGGCTGAATAATTTTGCATTCCCAATTTTTCAGTTTTTTTATTTGTTAAAAAAGTTTGAAATATCCAATAAATTTTGTTCCACTTCATGATTGTGTCCCACTTGTTGTTGGTTCTTCACAAAAAATTACAGTTTTATATCTTTATGTTTGAAGCCTGCAATATGGCAAAAGGTCAAAGTTCAAGGGGGCCGAATACTTTCGCAAGGCACTGTACATGCCTAGAATTATTCCATCCTTCTGGTCAATCTTTTCAAGGCTGATTGCCAGAATCAAATCTTAAACTCCAGGTGGGTCTTAACCACAGGACAAATGAGATGCTCAGTGACAAAAAGCGCTGAATTATTCACATATCTTTATTAGTTCTGCTGAATTTTAACAAAGGGGTGGGTTTTAATCAAGCCAGAACAGTACTAATAACATAAACGCAAACAATAGATTTGAAACATGTATAAAACTGGTAGCATTTTGTTCTCTAAACAATGCAATACTGTAACTACATTTATCACCTACATCAAAAGGAACATCATTTTTGGACAGGGTTGCTATGAATGCACCATTATGATAGGCCAACAGGCTATCTACACAGTTTTTAAAAAAACACAAAGGAAAGCTCAAATGGCACGTATTTTTCTCTGTCAGTTCACCATAATATAATAACAGTAATAAAGATGATAATACTATGTAATACCTTAGAGATAAGTTAATATTCTTGAGCAACATCTTTGTATGCTGGCATAAACAACACTTATAAAAGCCATGATATTCACATCTGAGTCTACTGTACATCAGAACTCGTGTGTAGGACACTACATAGTGCAGTTAGCCTGAACGCTCCCCTCAAAGAGGCAGACTCCACCTTCTGATTTTTTTTTACTTCCTTCTCCCCTGCTTTGTCTAAATGAAATATACAGAAGAAAGTAGAGTTTCCCAGGATATACAAACTCCCTCAGTCTCACTGTTCTTGTGTCAAGCTTTGATGTACATCTTACTCTACTCAACACCCCCACCTCCAAAAATTAATTAATAAATCTTTACTTGTTGTATTGCCACTAGTCCCTCTATCCTCAATCTCTTAAGCTGAAGCTTTTCATATGTTTACACACATGCACACACCCGCTCTCACACACACACACACACACACACACACACACACACACTTACAATCTATGACTATAAGTAAGTATTTCTTTCTAGTATATCATACATTCTATAAATTTGTTTTTAACTTTGGGAATACTGACTGATTTCTCAGAGTTCTTGGCTGTAAATGCACAAAGACACAATTATCATAATAACCAAATTCAAATTGTGTACTTCCATTCACATTCTGCAGTTCATTGAGAAGAAAGTTGAGCTGGGAGTGCTGTGAAAGCTCTCTAATGACCTCTAGTGTGTGTTTTTAGTCACCGCAGACAGATCTGCAGTGAAAGGCAAACCAGGTTCTCCCATGTCTTAAAACCTATTCTATATTCAGTTGGGGTTGATTATCTGCTAAACATATCTATTTAATTCAATTTGTAGAAAATATAAACTCTGTCGGTCTTCATGATGTGTTTAAATGGCTCATGCATGTTGGACCCTGTGCATGAAATGACTTGAAA